AGTAGTAATCTTTTGTGGGTAGTCAGCCTCTCCCTTCCCGACATCCCCATTGCCTTGGCACTATAAGAGGGTTTCACGAGACTAGTTTCTCTCATTACTGGGTAATTTCGAGGCAACGGTGTAGTAATAGTGAGGCTACGGACCACAGGATGGGAATCACTGTTCTACACAAATGGTGCTTGCTTATTCCCAGCTCAGCTCGCCAGCAGGCAATAGCACCAGCTATATCCCCTGCCATTGCTATGGTTACTTAAGTTACTTGTCAAAAGTGAATCAATCCCAGAATGATGTCCCTTCCCTACTAGTACCTAGGACACAAAAGGAAATGGATAAATTATAATAAAATCATAGACAAGTCTCTCCAGCTTCCACTTCCACCCTGTCCCAGTGCTTCTCTTCCACCTTCATGGAGAAAATTGGGCAAGTCCATTGTTGAGCCCTGCCTGAAACAGATTTCTCTGACAGATGGTGTATATCATAACCCGACCTTGGAAAGATTATTTTTTGAATTACAAGTTCTACAACCCCACTGACCATACTGGATAGTGAATTGTCCAGGAAAGTAACTTTCTGATGTTCCAGTCACAAACACCATCTTAACTCCAAATGGATGAAACCCAGTCTGGATTGTAAACTCTTCTGGCATTTTTGTATACAACTCCTATCCAAAATGCAACCAAAGTTGTTGTAATCCCACATGGCAGTTTTCCTGTGTAGGTTGCTGTTATCATTAGTAATCAATATTATGTATTCTCTTGTCTCATCTGTATTGCTGTATACATGTTGGAAGCACTGAGAAGCAAAAGGTTCTGACAGAGTAAATCCATACTAATATTGACATTTATGCCTCTTCTTTGTGATGATGTGAGCAGGGTTTCCTACATAGAAGCAACATGCATATAGTTCACACATTATGTGTAATGCACAGTACACAATCTCTGCAATTTAAGCATTTTCATTTGAGAATCTGCGCGCTTTGCCTACTAATGAATTGCTTATTTATGAATTTGGTTTGCATACATGATGATCACCATTTTACCATACATTCCAACCATTAATCTTTTCTTAATATGAGTTTTAAAAATCTTGAGCCACTTCAGCTGCCATTTGCACATATGAGCCCATCCTGACAGTGTACCAGTGTAATCCAGCTGGATTTACTCTTAGGTGTATATAGTGCAACATCTGAAATCTTTGAGAGTGAAATAAATACATCTTGCTTGCTATGTGAAATATAACAACAACAACAACAACAACAACAACAACAACAACGTGCCTTATTTTAATATGTTGTCATTCTTTGCCTTGATCCATGGGGAGATGTGAGTAATAAATAAATAAATAGTAAAAATAATTTCTTCCCTGCCTCTCCCCATAGATCAAGGAACAACAACACAACAAATAAAGCGCTGTGTACTGAGCAATCTGCCCTTTCAAAATGCAGAAGGCATTTTGATTAGATTTGAACTTTTGGCAAGATATTATGGAATTATATTTTGTCAGCAGCTCTTATTTAAAAACAATAAAAGCCAGGGATCATCCTTGTTTTCTAATTACTGCAGAATGGGCTATAATCTAAAAGTAACACTGTGGACAAGCTGACTACAGAACATGCATTATTTATAAATCTACTACATGACATTTTACTTATTGGTTGTTATTTGCCATTAAGTCTGCTTCAACTGATGGCAATTGTCTGAATAAGAGACCTCCAGGAGCCACTATCATCAACAGCTCAAGTTTTACAAATTCTTCCCCTTCTTCCTCTCCTCCTATCTTCTTCTTTTCCTACTACCCACTTTATCAAGTCTTTTACAATGAGCAGTGTCTTTTACTAGGGCTCTCTGGTGGCATAGTGGGTTAAACCACTGGGCTGCTGAACTTGCTGACCAAAAGTTTGGCAATTCGAATCCGGGGAGCAGGATTAGTTCCCACTGTTAAACCCAGCTTCTGCCAACCTAGTAATTTGAAAGTATGCAAATGTGAGTAGATTAATAGGTACCACTTCTGCGGGAAGGCAACGGTGCTCCCGCACAACGCCGGCTCTTTGGCTTAGAAATGGAGTGACAAAACAAAGAGACACAAATACACAGACAAATGTAAAAGCTTTTCCTTTCATTTCTGGCTCTGGGGGAGGTGCTTTTTCTCCATTTCCAAGCTCCCCTGGTCATGTGGCTGGCATGACTGCTTGGAGCATCTTTGCCTTTTCCCACCAAAGCAATACCTATTGATCTACTTACATTTCCATGTTTTTGAACTGCTAGGTTGGCAGGAGCTAACAGCGGGAGCTAACCCATCCCATGAATTCGAACTGCCAGTCTTCAGGTAAGCAATTCATCAGTACAAGGGCCACTGTTAGGAATTGTGAGAGTTGAAGTCCAAAACACCTGCAGGGCCAAAGTTTGCCCATGCCTGGTTTAACTCATTGTGCCACCGTAATATATGATACTCAGTCTATATAACACAGTATTTTTTACTCATGTTGGGCTTGGAGCAAACTTTGCGTACAATGAATCATCGGGCACCAAAGTTGTCACTATCTCAGCCATGCCTGCAGAAATTTATGGATTTGGCAATATTTCTGATTTTGGAATCCCGGGTCCTTTATACACTGCCGCATAATCCAGTGGACTTAAATGTCAGGGAACACCTTTCTTCTACTATGTTATTGTGTAGCCATTATGTTCTGGTTTACACATGTATGGACGGCATTGAATTTTGCCTTTATAATGCTAGAAATCGCTTTGAGTTCCCTCAGGGGGAGAAAAGTGGTATATAAATGTAGTAAATAAATAAATAAATTTACGATTTTGGAATTCCAGATAAGGAATGCTCAAAACTGTGCATAACGTAGTATGTGTTGGAGCTCACCCTGTGATTGTGTTCCAGGATCAGGGTGCTTTGGATGTGGGGAGTGCTGTCAATGAGTTTCAAGATGAGTTTCAAGATGGCAGTGGTTTGGTCAGTGATATTGATGAAGAGAATGACCAGGAGATCCCTGTTCAAAGTGTAGTTTCCCATGAGAATGTCCCTGAGGAGTGGGGGATGATGGTGTGCTTTCTGAATTGTTACCAGAGTTCCCATGATAGAAAACATGAAAACAGCTCGACACCTGGCCCAGCTGCAGAAATGAATGAGCAAATAGATAATGAGCAAATAGATAGATGTGAGGAGATTAGTCAAAACAGGAGAGCCAAACAGTGGCTTCGGCCATCTGCCAGGCTCCGAGAAAAAAAAGATAAGAAATTCTCAATTAAAACAAAACCAATTTCTGAATGCTAGAGACTTAGCTAACAAGGAGATAAAAGTCCCAAGTACAGGATATATAGTTAGATTAAGCATCGTTTGGAATCAAGTCAAGTTCTCGTTCTTGTTCATGGAAGTTTTGCTTGGGAAATTCATGTTTAAAGCGCATTTGTTTCATGGTTTTGATTCTTGGATTTCATGCTTCTATATTCATGCCTTGGGTTTCCTGATTTTTTGCATTATCTTTGGGAAGTTTTGACTTTGTTTTTATGGACTTTGCTGGACTATTACCCTGGACTACTTTGTCCCTGCTTATCTTCCTACCTAATTGGATTTACCTATTTCTTTAAAGTGTTTTTACCTTACTACTTTTTAATTATCTTCAACAAAAGGATTGTTTTCCATTCAATGGTGTGGTGTTTAAAATCTGAAGGCTGTTCTTGTCCTGGAGGGCAACAGTATGTTTACATATTTTGTGATTGACACAAAAGTTTGTGTACATTGAACCCTTTAGATTGGGCATGGACCAACTTGGGCCTTCCCTCCAGGTCTTTTGGACTTCAACTCCCAGCATTCCTAACAGCCTCGGGGGTGAGGGGGGAAAGGAAGGGGTCTGAGGCTGTTAGGAATGGTGGGATTTGAAGTCCATAGTACGAGGCAGGCATGTGGGGGGGGGGGGGCTTGGGGGGCTTCAGCCCCCCCTCCCCGAAATTCTCATGGTGGTCCATGAGAAGGCCTTACTGGTACATTATTTAAAGTGTTATGTTTATTCATATCATGATCTGATCACCATGCTCAATATATCTCATATGCATGGAGGTATTAGGGTAACGATACAAAAGGTTTGCTAGGGTAGACCCTCTTTCACTCATCCCCCCCCCCCCCCCGAAACAAAATCATGGCTACAGGCCTGCCTGGAGGGAGGGCCCAAGTTGACCCATGCCTGCTTTAGATAGCAAAGGAGTCCCACCTCTGCCACCCATGCAGATGATTTGGGAAGTCTTTCTAGTTTTGGATATTGAATTATTTGGGTTGTTGTAGGTTTTTCGGGCTGTACGGCCATGTGTATGAACTCTTGATGCACTCTGGTTTGGGATCAGAGTTTGCACTGGGTTGCTGTGAGTTTTCCAGCCTGTATGGCCATGTTCCAGAAGCATTCTCTCCTGACATTTCTATGACAGGCATCCTTAGAGGTTGTGAGAATGATTTGGGATAGATTGGGATTGATTGGAAGGAATGTCCAACCAGTGTATGGCACAGTTTGTTTTTTTTAACTCTTGTTGTGCTTGGAGCAAACTTTGGGTATCTTGACTTGACCCCCTTCTGGAACCAAAAGGGCGCCAGGTGGACAGCTCCGGATTCGGGACCACTTCGGGACACACTCCGCCTTTTCCTCTCGGGAATGCCGTGGAGAGTGAGGCGAGAAGAGGGGGAGGAAGAGAAGGAGGAAAGAAAGAAAGGAAGAGGGTGGGAACTCAGGCGCGCGCCAGCCCGGGCCCGTCCTTTGCAATCCTCGTCGCGGTGGCTCGGCCTCGGACAGCGCCACTCTCCGGAGGCAACAAGGCCGCACTTGCGGGAGGAGGAGGAGGAGGAGGGCGAGGAGGAGGGCCACGGGGAGGAGCCCGTGCTTCTCCGCCGCCGCCGCCGCCGGACGAGATTGTCGCCGCCCCGTCGCAGGGGCTGGTCCAGCGTCCAGCGTCGGACTACTGCCGCCGCCTCCCTAGGCCGCGGAGGGAGCAGAGCCCGGCACCCCCTCCTCCTGGCCAGCCTCCTCCTCCTCCTCCTCGCCGGCCGGCCGCCGCTGCTCACCTGAGGCGCCAGGCAAAGGAGGCCAGGAGGCGCCGCCCCTCGGGAGGCCATCGCCGCCGCCGTCAGCCCGGCCCTGGGGGCGGCGGCGAGGGCCAGAAGCCATGGCCAGGGCTCCGGGCGTCTAAGGAGGAGGAGGAGGGGGAGGGGGAGGAGAAGCCGCAGAGGCCTGCGAGTCCCAGGCGCCGGGGGAGGCTGTGGGTCGGGCGGAAAGGGGCCACAAGATGTCCTCCACCCGCACGCCGCTGCCCACCGTCAACGAGCGGGACGCCGAGAACGTGAGTCGGGCATCTGGACGAGGAGGAGGAGGGAAAAGAAGGGAAGAAGGGGACGCTTCGGGTTTCCATGGGGAAAGGAGGAGGAGGAGGCCTTTGGACATGCATTCCTGGGTGACTTCGGGCCCCCAAAAGGCCGCCCCTTTTCGGCCCCGGCTTCAGGCAGGCCGCAGTGGGCTCGCAGCCTTGGCCTCCCCCGAAGCCACGCCTCGGAGGGATGCTTCCCCGCTTCCGACCCACAGCCACACCCGGAGGGGACGCCTTTCAGCCCTTCCCCTCCCCCTCCCTCCATTCCTCCTCCCTTTTTCTTCCGTCCTCTCCTTCTCCTTCCTCTGTTCCCCCTCCTTCTCCTTCCTTCCTTCTCTTTTTTCTCCTTCTTCATCTATTCCTTCCCCTCCTCTTCCTTTTTCTTTCACTCCTTACCTGTTTCCTCTTCCTCCTTCTTCCTCTACTCCTCCCCTCCTGTTTTTCTTCCTCTCCTTCTCTCCCTTCTCTTCCTCCCTCCTTCTCTTTTCTTCCTTCCTTCCTTCCTTCCTTCCTTCCTTCCTTCCTTCCTTCCTTCCTTCCTCTCCTTCTCCTCTTCCTTTTGCTTCCTACTCCTTCCTCTATTCCTCCTCCTTTTCCTTTCTTTACCTCCTTCTCTTCTTCCTTCTCCTCTCTCCTCTATTCCCCCACCTTCTTCTTTTTCATCTTTCCTCTCCTTCTGTTTCTTCCTACTCCTTCCTCTATTCCTCCTCTTTTTCTTCCTTCCTCTCATTCTCTTCTTCCTTCTTCCCCCTCTTTTATTCTCCCTTCCTCCTTCTTTTTCTTCCTCCCTCCCCTTCTCCTCTTACTCTTTCTTCCTTCTCCTCCTTTCTCTATTCCTCCTCCTTTTTCTTCCTCTCTCTTCTTCCTTCTCTTCCCTCTTCCTTCCCCTCCTCTTCCTTTTTCTTCCTCTCCTTCTCTATTTCTTTTCCTCTTCCTCCTTCTCCTTCCTCTATTCCTCCCCCTCCTGCTTCTTTTCCTTCCTTCTTCTTCTCCTCTTCCCTGTTCTCCCTTCTCTATTCCCCCTCCTCCTTCTTTTCCTTCCTTCCTTCCTTCCTTCCTTCCTTCCTTCCTTCCTTCCTTCCTTTCCTTCCTTCTCTTCTCCTTCCTTCCTTCCCTTTTCTTCCTTCATGGAATCCTAGAGTTGGAAGAAACCTTGTGGGCCATCAGTCCAACCCCCTGCCAAGAAGCAGGAAAATTGCATTCAAAGCACCCCCAACAGATGGCCATCCAGCCCCTGTTTAAAAGCTTCCAAAGAAGGCGCCTCCACCACACTCCAAGGCAGAGTTCCACTGCTGAACAGCTCTCACAAGAAGTTCTTCCTAATGTTCAGGTGGAATCTCTTTTCTGTAGTTTTGAAGCTATTGTTCCGCATCTAGTCTCCAAGGCAGAAAACAAGCTTGCTCCCTCCTCCCTGTGATTTCCCCTCATATACATGGCATCATATCTCCTCTCAGCCTTCTCTTCTGCAGGCTAAACATGCCCAGCTCTTTAGCCACTCTTCATAGGGCTTGTTCTCCAGACCCTTGATCATTTTAGTCACACTCCGCTGGACACATTCCAGCTTGTCAACATCTCCCTTCCATTGTGTTGCCCAGAATTGGCCATAGTATTCCAGGTGTGGTCTCATCAAGGCAGAATAGAGCGGGAGGATGACTTTCCTGGATCTACACTAAACTTCTATTGATGCAGGCCAAAATCCCATTGGCTTTTTTTGTAGCCACATCACATTGTTGGCTCATCTCCTCCATTATTTTCTTCCTTCCTTTCATTCTCTTCCTCCTCCTCCTCCTCCTCCTCCTCCTTTTTCTATTCCTTCCTCTCTGCTCCCTTTTCTTCCTCTCCTTCTCTTCCCTCTCTTCTTCCTCGATTCCTTTTCCTTCTTCCTCCTCCCCCATTTTTGCATTATGTTATTTATTCCTCCCGCCCACTAGTACCAAGGCTTCCTTTTCTCCTGTCCCTGAAGCTAATTGCCCTGTTTGCCTTTGCAGCCCAGACAGGGTCAAGTTTTATTTATTGTCTTCAGTCTATAAAGAGCTTTTTTTTTGGGGGGGGGGGTTGCTTTTCAGGTAAACTTTCCTCCCTCATAGACAGAGGTGTCCACACTGCAGGATTATAGCACTTGGGGCTCCTCTTTAGCTGCCCTGGCTCCATGCTGTGGAATTACGGGATTCGTAGTCTGTTATGGCACTTCAGGCATCTGCATGGTAGAATTGGTGCAGTTTGACACCACTAGAACTGCCACGGCTGAAGGATGTGGAATCACGAGAGTTGTAGTTTTACAATATCTTTATACTTTCTCTATCAGAGTGTGCTGGTGCCTCACCAAACTGAACCTCTCCTGATTACAAGGTCTTTAGCCTTCTCTTCTGAAGAATTCTGCCTCACCAAACTACAAATCCCATACTCCCATAGCATGGATACAATTGATAGGGTATCTGACTGCTGTTATTCTGTAGTGAGGATACAGCCAGCACTCTTTTCCACCTCTTGTTTATTGAATTTCCCCATTGCCCCTCCAAATCTTGACTTTTCGAGACAAGTCTTTTTGTTTACGTCTGACTTGCCCCCCTTAAAGGGGCCGGGCCTGGCTGCATCATGACCTCCAAAAGCAAAGCAAGCAACTGTTCTGTCAATCTAATACCCAACTCCAGCAGGGGCCGGCTGTGTCTGAATTCCTCTTCAGTCCCAAGGTCTTTGTGCTCCTTGTTTTCGTCACAAGGATCCCTCCTTCAACTCCCAGCCTTTCTTCGTTTTGTGTGTATGGGGGATCCGGAGCTATGGCCTGGCGCCCAAACCCCTCTCCAATGCAGCATTTTGTTGCATTCCTATTGCAGACCTCTCTGAGTGGGACTGCTGGAGGAGAAGCCGAAAATAATAGTGAGGCAAAGAATAGAGAGCGATTATTCCACAGGCACACCTAGAGGTTGTTATTGGAGCATGAGAATGGAAAGCCTTTGTCGGACTGGGATTTAATACATATGTGCATGCCTGTATAGCAATATTTCTCAATCTTCCTAATCCCACGACCCCGCAACCATAAAATCATTTTTGTTGCTACTTCATAACTGTAATTTTACTACTGTTATGAATCATAATGTAAATATTTAGTATGCAGGATGATTTTATTCACTGGACCAAATTTGGCACGAATACCCAATACACCCAAATTTGAATACTGCTGAGACTGGGGGCGGGATTGATTTTGTTATTTGGGAGTTGTAGCTGCTGGAATTTATAGTTCACCCACAATCAAAGAGCATTCTGAACTCAATGATGGAATTAAACCAAACTTGGCATATAGAACTCCTGTGACCAATAGAAAATACTGGAAAGGTTTGGTGGGCATTGATCTTAGGTTTTGGAGTTGTAGTTTACCTACATCCAGAGAGCACTGTGGACTCAAACAATGATGGATCTGGACCAAACTTGGCCCGATTACTCAATATGCCCAAATGTGAACACTGGTGGAGTTTGGGGAAAATAGACCTTGACATTGGGGAGTTGTAGATGCTGGGATTTATAGTTCACCTACAATCAGAGGAATCTGAACCCCACCAATGATAAAACTGGGCCAAACTTCCCACATACTATCCCCATGACCGACAGAAAGTACTGTGTTTTCTGATGGTCTTTGGCAACCTCTCTGACACCCCCTCGCGACCAGCACCCCTTGGTAGAAAAAGCTAAAGACCTTGTAACATTACAACCCCCATGACTCCTCAACATTGAGCCATGGCAGTTAAAATTGTGCCCAACTGCATTGATTATATAATGTAGATCAGGCATGGGCAAACTTTGGCCTTCTGGGTGTTTTGGACTTCTACTCCCACCATTCCTAATAGACTCAGGCCCCTTCCTTTCCCCCCTCAGCTGCTTAAGCTGGAGAGCCAAAGTTTCCCTGTGTCTGGTGTAGATACACCCTAAATAGCATATTACTGCAGGTCGGAGCTTTGGGATAGCAGAAACGTGTCTGGAGTGCTTCTTTCATATTTTTAAGGAGCTGTTTGAAAGAAGAGGGAAGAGAGGCAGTGTAAAATCTGACATTATGTCTGTATGTGCTATTTCTGGTAGACAGGCACCGACTGATGGGAAATGAATGATCAGTGGGAGGAAAAAGGCATGTTTGTCGTGCAGTAATCTAATGGGGGTTGAACTGAACCAGAGTTTTCCTGAGCAGACGTGAAATGTGATACAATGTTTGTGGGCCCATTGACTTTGCTGGCACTGTTGACAATGCCTGTTTCTTCAAGCAAGCGTAAGCAGTGTTTATCCTTCCTTGGGAACATTGTGTGAGCATATTGGGTACCTTCTGCAAACTTTGGTTTGAAAAGTTGAATTTAGTGAGAATGTGTGTGATAGCAACAGTAGGAAAGAGAGGAACAGCATGGCTTTCTGTGATTTAGCCCAGCTAAGTAAAGGTAAAGGTAAAGGTATCCTTTGACATTAAATCTCATTGTAAAAACATAGAATCATAGAGTTGGAAGAGACCTCATGGGCCATCTAGTCCAACCCCCTGCCAAAAAGCAGGAAAATCGCATTCAAAGCACCCCCAACAGATGGCCATCCAGCTTTTGTTTAAAAGCCTCCAAAGAAGGAGCCTCCGCCACACTCCAGGGCAGAGAGTTCCACTGCTAAACAGCTCTCACAGCCAGGAAGTTCTTCCTTATGTTCATCTCCTTTCTTGTAGTTTGAAGCCATTGTTCTGCGTCGTAGTCTCCAGAGTAGCAAAAAACAAGCTTGCTCCCTCCTCCCTATGACTTCCTCTCACATATTTATACACGGCTATCATGTCTCCTCTTAGCTTTCTCTTCCTCAGTCTAATCATGCCCAGCTCTTTAAGCCACTCCTCATAGGGATTGTTCTCCAGACCCTTGATCATTTTAGTCACCCTCCTTTGGACACATTCCAGCTTGTCAACCTCTTCCTTCAATTGTGGTGCCCAGAATTGGACACAGTATTCCAGGTGTGGTCTAACC